AGCATGGACCATCGACTCGGATCACCGGCTCTGAGGAAGACGAAGACGTCGAAACGTTAGCCGAAAATAAATATATTTATCAACCTCGTGCAAGCTTATCAAGAAAGAATACATATTGATTTGTCTCACCGAGGTTTAGGGAAGGTCGGTTTCGAAATATTAAAATGTTCGATTTTTTCTATCAAGTCAGTTAATTGTGGAATTTATGGGGCGTCTTTGTCTACATTTGAGAGGCGCTGAGTCGGATGTGGCAGTATTTTTTCCAACAGTTGCTTTTGACTGTAAATTGTCCATGTTCATGTTCTTGGTTTCCCGAAAGCAAATTATACATACAAAGACAATCGAGGATAAATAGAAAGCGGCCGTTTCAGGAAAGCAGAAGGCTGATTCATTTGCTTGAAAAGTTACGGTTTTGCTTCTAAATAAAATTTTGTGCTGCACTGCTGTAGATTTCACTTCGTGTTTCAGTGCTAATGTTGTTTATTCACTAATGTATGCTAAAGTTTAACAATTGAGCAGAATTATAAAGAAAAAGTGAAATTAAGGGATCTTATTTCTTGGAGAAATCCGTAAAACATATGGTATAAGGGCGTAGGAAGCACTAGAGATATGAACGTCTGCCGTACGAACAGCGTGAGTTGCGAAATTTTTGAAGTGCTTAAGAATGGCTGACCCACAGCTTTGGTATTTATGATCTTGTTAATGCCATGTTCTCGTGTAATGCCGTATCCACGTCCTTTGCAGTAATCTCTTTTCCGAAGGGTATCAGCCGTTTTTTGTTGTATTCCGCCGAGGTAGATAGATGCGCACTTCATTGTTGAAGGTGACCATCTATTGGCTGTGATTCACTTCCCACTCACTTGGATGGAAGTATTTGGCAAAACTGCAGTGCAAGATGCAATGTATGCAAGTACATCAACGGATATGTACATCAATGCGTGTCTGCAAGAGGTAGAAGTCAATGTGATGCCAGAAGAGAGAAAAAGCTCATTACCTGAATCGTAGCTGTGGTCAGAACGCAACTGCGGTTGTACGATTGTCTAACCTTCAATCGATTAGTATCCGTTGCGAAACCTTGCTACTTATCGAGTAAAGTTTTTTACTCCAAGCAAATCTATAGCTATAAAGCACACGGTGTTTAACGCATATCTCTACCGTGCTTTCATCAATTTAGCGAAAGCTTTTGACTCAGTCGAGATAGGAGCGGTTATGGAATCCTTGGACAGCCAAGCAGTATACTCGGTATATCGAAATTCTTCGTGAGGTGTAAAAAAATTTTTGCAGCTAAGATAGCATCATTCTACAACGATATTGACATCGATGTCAAAAGAGGGGTTAGGCGAGGCGATACCATCTCGCCAAAAATATTTACCTCCACTCTCGAGAACGTCCTGCATGCACTGGAATGAGAGAATATGGGTGTGAAAACTGATGGTCGGCATTTACATCATCTTCGCTCTACTGATGACATCGTTTTTATAACACAAAACATTAGCCAAAGGGAACTAATGTTTGACGACTTTGATAAATCCTGTGGGAAGGTTGATCTTCGCCTAAGCCTCGAAAAAAAACGATGTTCATGAGGAACGGATTGATTTCTTATGCCCCATTCACGCTCACCAGTACGAGTATCTCTGAATGCTCCAGTTATGTCAATCTTGGTTGAGAAACCAGCATGATGAATGAACTAGCTCCAGAGTTGAACAGAAGGAACTGGGCAGCCAGGGAAGCTTTCAAGAGCATCCAGGTTGTAGTGATGGGAATAAAGAACGTCCGACTCCGTGCCCAGCTTTTCGGGTCCACAGTTCTTTTTGGATTAACGCATGTGTCAGAAACGTCGCTGCGTAAGCAGGATGAAGGATCACTCATCGTTATTGAGGGCGCAGTTGAAGGAGGATGCTAGGAGTATCTCGCGTCACACAAGGAAAGGAAGTGATCCGAAGCTCCAATCTCCGTCAACGATCATAAATCAAAGGCGCCGTTCTATACGCTAAACTGTCGAAGGTAAAGTGCGCCGGGCACGTAAGGCGTATGACCGACAACGGGTGGACAAGAGCCGTTAATTACTGGATTCCTCGGTATATTAAACGGACTTCAGGAAGACCACCTACCCGACAAGGAGAAATGGAAGATTTACTGGTGCCCACTCGAGTCACTCGGCGATTAAAGGGACGAGAGATGATATATGTGATGGGACACAGAGTTCTGAAACTATTTTGAATTATTCTCACTTGTTTACTTATGGTACAGCATTCCGATTTTAACTTTTTTTACGTCGAATTTACTGGTCATCCCTAGAAAAAGGCATTTATCGTTGAAAAGAAAACTAAATGAAAGAAAGATGATTAACCAATTACTGATGTCGTTCGTGCTTCATTCACTCTAGACAAAATAATAAGACTGCAACGCAAAGTACCAAAATCTTTCCCTATTTATGCCTCTTCCTTTTGCTACAAAATAACTTGTTTCTATAGTGATCTCCTGATATAGGAATCCCCACAGGGTAATACTCTAGACAAACTGCTACTCCTACTGTACTCTTATTCTCGCAAGAAAAATCGTTTTGAAGAGTGGTTTTTCCTATAAACCAATCACAAGGAGCTGCTAGCTATTTCGGTAGTTGAAATGCCGAGATGACTATGCACTGTCTTTTGTAAAGCTGTGCTGTAAAGCATTTCTAACCCATATGAGCTGCTTTAAATTGCTTAATGTTGAGGGTTAGAAGCACTATTACTTGTGGACTAAGTCGAGGACAAGCGTTATTCTGTAATCTAAAAAAAATAACTGGAAATATTAACTCTGGCTAAGACATTTTCTCTTATCACATAGTGAGAAATTCAGCTGAGTAAAAGATGTGGCAGAAAGCAACTCTCAATGAAGTGTCGTCAAGAACGTCTTCAACAGTAATGATAGGAATCGACTATCACCTAGTCTACCCAAAAAGAAATAAATCATGCAAGTCAGCTGAGTGCTAGGGCTCAGTGTGACTTCCTAGAAAATGACATTATTTGGCGCTCTTTTACATTTAGAAAGCGATATCCAGTTTGAAGTTGAGTAGAGGTGACCCGGGTTCGATATGGCTTTTTTACATTGCAATAACACATGTTGATTTCCAAGTACGTTTCCATTGTGTCGACGGATTGATTGGGATCGTATAGTTACCGCGTTTTATAGGGTTCCTGTCTTGATTTCTAAGTTGCGGAATGATGCACTGCAGAATTTTACTCTCCCAGTGAGTTTTGTGGCATGACGGCTATTGCGCTATACAAATATGTCACGGTTTGAGTTTGTTTTGGAAATTTCTCCATTAAATTGAAAGTTCTTTAAATTGTACTGATATGAAATGCATATAAAAGAGGCCTACTAAATTAATGACCATCGGAATCTTGATAGGCATTTGTTCACGGAAATTTTGTGTGCATGAAATTCAACCCTCAGGCAATAATTCACGGTGAACTACTCTGATGTCAACGATTGGATTCTGTTTCTCTAATTACTCTTTGTAAGGTTTAGTTGTAAAAGTTTAATCTTCGGATATAATTTCGACTTTCTAAGAAATAAAAAAGATTCACTTGAAAGCTGAGTGTTGATTTCTTAATCACAAGTAGCTCTGTGATTTCGTTATTTCCATTTCGTTACCTACAATTTTAAAACGCCATGCGGTGTATATGTTTTGTCGTTCCTGGTTTCACGTTTATATCTACAGACATCAGACACTTTACAGATGACATCGAAGTCGGTAAGTGAACCCCATCAGGGTAAGAACCCAAACAAGCATGTAATTTTTAAATCATTGTAGTTTCTATAATTTTGTAGAAATCAGTTTTATAGTGCGTGCTAATGTAAGAAGTTCACTATGAAGTCACCTCTGCTTTTGTTGTTAGCACCCTCTACAACGGTTACTAAAAAGGAGCACACTCGACTGATCTTCTCGACTGCCATAGTCGGAGCGAAATGAATTACATATAGGATCATTTATGGCAACCTTATGATCGATAGCCCTAAGAAGAATCCGAGTTGACGCTAGTGATTCTGTAATCGCACTCCTTTCCGAGCTAAATCGCCTTGAAATGTTGTTTTTGCTAAGAGCATATTATAGAGGTTCTAGGTTTTGTCTTTGAACGCTCAATGCGTTCTCGCGAAAGTAACAAATGGCAAATTTTTGGAGCTGTGGATCGTAGGACGATGCGTAAATTCATTTCGATTACAGAGGTGGTGTAACTCGTCCGCCATACAAATACATCGTTATCAGCATATAATGACGCTGGTTTTTTTTAATAACTAGCGAAGAGTGTTGTTGAATGTGGAACATAAATGTACAAGTACATCAGAGGAGATATTTCCCCACCCACTTCACCTGGAACGGACCCTGTGATGAGTATTTCCTTGAACAGCAACAGTCTCTCGCTGCAATGTGAACTCACACACAAAGCAGATTTTATTTGTAAATGGTTTGGTGTTTTACAAGCTATCTCTGGCGTAACACTTGTGTTGGATGAGCTCCCGATCGAGTACGAAAAATGCTGCGAAAAATCTATATGCAGCAAAGTAAAGAAAAATGCCATGTTCCCATTGCACCACTTCGTTTTCCTCCACGTATGCATTTCACTCAATGCATCTTGTGTATCTTCTGTCAAAGAAGTATAAAAGGGAGAGTGCACCTGGAATTACTAAACAGGTGCTACTCAATAACAAGAAAAAAAACAGCATAAAGTAATATTTCGTGACAGTTTTGCAATCTTACCGAAGCACAGCATTTTTCACGTTTTGTATTTGATTAGTCCAAGTCGTCTTCAGTACACGCTATTCAAGGAGAATTAGTGTTGTTATCTGAGAGAAAGTAACTTTGCAGCTGTGTTTGTATGCGTTGGATCGACTATTATGGCGCTTGGAATGGTTGGAGCATCACGATTACTTCATGAAGGCATCCTGAGAAATATACTCCATTCTCCTATGCTTTTCTTTGACGTTACCCCTATCGGACGTATACTGAACCGATTCGGAAAGGTACGAGCGATACTTTGGAAACCAATTTGCTATTATTATAATACATGAGCAATAGATAGCTCGTTATCTCACCAAAAGATGGAACTTTTCGGTTTCACTGTTACTCACTAATAACAGAAACAATTCTTCAGAAAGGTGCGAGGAAAATATTCCATGAGTAAAAATGCTTTCCAAGGCTACCTTTTTCTTGGTCTGCGAAGAATACGATTCCTTAACGTTTCATTTACAATATTTCGAAATTTATCAGTATTTTACAGGCGAAAAATTCCGTTTTTGAAAACATGTTTTTTTTTCAAAATTTCGTTTTTGTTCGATGAATATAGCAGTGCATTCTAGTTGAGGTCGCAGTGCATAAGCTTTCTACTGGAAGTAAAATAGGTTTAAAAGATGTTAAAAGCGAGCAGGATACGGAAGTTGTGGATAGCCAACTGTCGAAATCCGTCGGGCTATGGATTCTAACTGTTGCTGACATCGCCATTACTATTTTACTTCTACTATACGTTACTCCCTGGACTTTTGGACCAGTGTTGGCCGTACTCTGCATCCATATGGTTGTACTGGTGAATACACAATTTTAATCAGTGGGATTTTATATGTGATCTGAAATGACATGAGACATCCGTCCTGTTATTTCGGACCAAGCTATATAAAGCTCATTTGACTATTTCCAACATACTTTGAGTCGCCCTCGTTTTTTTTCTCTTCTTGTATTCGCTTTCACTTCGGTCCAGATACACAGTACTAACGCTGAGCTTGCCGCTGCTTTTACGATCTAAGAAAATGTAAAAAGTCACGATGTCCTCCTTTTTTGACTTAGATGATTATCATCACACAGGATGTGGAGGCGATAGATACGACACTGCCAGGATCAATTCGTTCGATGATCATGACGATGTTAAACGTGGTTGCGACGATTGTGGTTATCGTGATCGCAACACCAGTGGTCGCACTTCCATTTGTATTTCTAGCTGCTCTCTACATCGTTGTCCTGGTATGCATAGCACATCTAAACGATCTGATCGAGTTCCGTCTCATTATTTAATACACCAGCATGTAAACGCTTGATCGAACTTCACTAGGTCACCTTCCTGCCTGACGTGTGCTGTTTTCGACATGAGTTCCATCTATCCCATCCTCTGATGTGTTAACTTTCACTCTTTCTTTTGTACGATTCTAAGCATGGAAGCTTTGAGTGTAGTGAGTTTGATTTTCTCATGCTTAGGAAGAAAATTTGATCATGAGGCCCTGAAAATTGAACGATAGCTTAAGAAAAATTGCACCCGGCTGATTATTTTCGCATTCATCTTCTCGACAGCCGTGCTACTGTTCGAGGCTCGCAGTTCTTTGGCATTGTGGCGTAAACTTGGTAAATAATGAAATAAACACTTATTTACTGCCTATTCTTTTTTGTGGCAAGGTATTATGTGAAATACAATTACAATGATGCTGAGATATGAGCAAAACTTGGAACCTCAGTTGCTCTTCGGATCGGTGACTGACCTTTCCGGAAGCTCACCTGTTATCCACTACACCAACCGTGGCCCTTGCTTTGCCTTTCTCTCAGCCAATTTTTTGCTCTAACAATGCTGAAGTGACACTTTTCAATGAGCCTAGCTTTGAGATCACAGTGTTTTCTTATTATTGATAGCTGTAATGATTCATTATACAGCATGTGGTCGTGAATATTGCATGCAGGATGTGGAAATGCTGGATTCGCGACTGCCAAGCTCGATCATGACGTTTGTTGGAGCCATCATACAAACACTGATGATCATCTCAATGCCTATCTATGCGACTCCTTCAATCATCCTTCTTCTTGTTCCAGTCTTCGTCTTCTATTTTTACCTTTTGGTTAGCATGCTACTATGGAATATGTTTTATGAATGCAACGTAAAACCTTCGGTTCACATATTTCAATTCAATATTTGAGCAAAATATAGGTCTAAAGTGAAGTTCAGCAGAGCTTAGGAAGGAAGAATGTGAATTGAATCCATAAAGTGTGTTTAAAAGTCCTATGTGAATCGTTTTGTCCAGTTCATTTTTCCAGAAAAACAAGACTACTGCATCTAACGCCTTTGACAATGTCAGATTAAGCAATTCCATATTTTGCTTCAGCATTAGAGTTAGTGATGCAAAGTGTCTTAATAATTGTTCTTTTGTGTGTACCATTTTCGTCCTACTGGCACAATCACGGTGGTGCTCCAAATAAACAAGACCGATGTGCATTTTTCTGTGTATTTTATTTGTATCCCAATCTCCATTCGGTCTCTGATTTTTTTCGTTATGGATGAAAAATATTAAATTTTGATAATTTCTACTCTCAATTACGTTTTAACACATTTGGTTTTCTAAGGAGCTTGATCCGTTGAAGTTCAGCGATTACCTTTTCTAAGCTGAACAGCTAAATTGCTTAATGACGCCCGCGTTGTATTCCTTCAGTGTTCGCAAAAATCACGCCGCAAGTTATAGCGCCGGATCATGTGCAACTCCTGCATATTGATTAGTTACCCAAGCGGTGGTGCTGTACCGTGTGCTGCCAAATCAATACGTATCTGCTCCACATATAATGTATTACTGAAAGCTTATGACCATAAATGAACTACCACTTTTGTTTTTGTCGCTATAACGTGCATTGCTGCCTGATCAATGTTAGGACGTCGACTGTCTCGACAACGCCATTCCTCGTTCACTGATGTCGTTTGTGCGCACAGTGATTGCCTCGGTCGAAATCGTTGTGGTGGTAATTTGGGCGACACCGATATCAGTCGCCGTGATTGGACCTCTGTTTGCTATTCACCTCATGTTCTTGGTTTGTATAACAACATATGTTTATTGTTTGCTTGGCATTTTGCTCGTGTGCTTTCGCTTCTGTTTGGTTGCCTTTATCGTAATACCCTGTGCGTTAAAGTTGTCTAAAGTATCCAGTAACGTAGTAGAACGTGTTGTCTATTCCGTAAAAGTTCCAATTTCGATCATTTTTGGCAAATACTAAGCAGGGAATGTTGGTATTGACCATGTCGTCGTGGAAATCACTAGTGTATATTTTGCGCAAGCGCTTATATCTTCTGTTGATTTTTGTTACTTCGCGACATCCTCATCACTTTAGTGTGCTCAAAGCGTAGAATGGATTGTTTTCAAGGAACAAATTTCGGCATGCAAGTTAGACTAGTTAAGCTGTAAATGCTATATATTTCCATCATATTGGTCAAGTTTCATTTAAGCATTCACTTTATGGTTGATGGCATTCGATTCATTACACGTTCTACACGTTGCTGTATATTAACTATTCAACCGTAACTCCCACGTCCGACTTTCTATTAACCTCGGCATTGATTGAATAATTCTTTCTACTTCTGTTCAGCAAAGATGAGGTGTTATTTAATTTCTTTATTTACCTACAAGCTGACGTTTTGGCGGATTTCGCCTTCCTCAGAGCCTGGAAAGGTCAAGTTAACAACAATCTATTCGGCCAAACACTTCCATAGCCAAACAGAGAAAATGCTAATCCAATATTTCAATCAAGTTGTACACAGAATAGCTTCCTCGCGCAATCACCGCTTTATGTGAGTCTTACACTGAAAAATGTCACGTGAAGACCAACCGCACAGAATCCACATGGAAGCGTAATGTGCCTCTCCCACCAGAATAACAGGTTTACAGGTTCAGGATTGCTGTCAACTTGACCTTTCCAGGCTCTGAGAAAGGCGAAATCCGCCGAAACGTCAGCTTGTACGTAAATAAAGGAATAAAATAACACCTCGTCTTTGCTGAACAGAAGTAGAAAGAATTATTCAACCGTAGCTCATTCAAAATCTTAGCTGTTATGATTATATTCAAATGTGTTCCAGAGATTCTACGTGAGCACATCAAGACAACTGAAACGTCTGGAATCCGCATCTCGATCTCCTATATATTCTCATTTTCAGGTTTGTGCTTTCTATTCTTTTCACACTAATCGAATTAATCAGCATTTATTCTAGGAATCAATCCAAGGTACCTCTACAATTCGTGCCTATAAGCTAGTCGATGAATTTATTAAAGAGTCTGAAAGAAGGGTGGACGAAAATCTCGCCACTTACTATCCGAGCATTGTTGCTAATCGGTTGAACATTGCTTCATTTGCATAATCAAAGAAATACTGAGGGTTGTTTGGATCCTTAGGTGGCTTGCTGTTCGTTTGGAACTGGTTGGAAACTTGATCGTAATGTCTTCGGCCCTTTTTGCTGTGCTTTTTCGTGATTCTCCTGGTTTATCAGCTGGTCTGGTCGGATTATCTGTGTCTTATGCACTGAACGTGAGTATTTATAGTACAGTCTGTTTTCTTTGGAAAATGTTGGAGCAGTTCGTTTCATTTGGTGAAAATGAGTTCGTTTACTCTTTCTAATGGGTAGGGAGAAAGTTTTGAGTTGAATTATGAAATATGGTTATACAACTTTTCTCTACAGTTAACTTCATCTTAACTTCATCGAGGTTTTTTTCTCTACCAAGGTTTCACCTTAAAATTGATGTATTGTATTCAACAGTTTTTCTATATAAAACATTTGTTTTATAAGCCAGATAACCCTTAACTGTTTCCAACAGAGTCATTAGGCAGGCCAAAGTTTTCCCAAATTTGCGCGTTGACGGAAGTACGTTGTTATCGATATTGGAGCTCAGACGAAATGTGGTCGTCGAATTTTTCCAACTTCTACTAAAATAACTCTTACAAAAAACTCGCTGCCATGCGTAAAAGGATAAAGGGTAAAGCTCTCGGCGTTGATCAATCTCTGAGGGATGCGCCATGCACTCAACTTCATTAAGTATGGTTGGAGTCGATTGGATGCATATTTGGCCTTTATAATGACTGGCGGTGGCCTACCGACATCGAGCCAGTGCTGCTATCCTCCCAGACAAGTCTGGTGCCAACTTGCCGACCCTGGAGGGATGGAGGGCTTGGTTGGCCATGGGTGCCGGGGTCGATTCCACGTGCGTGTCACGGCGGTGCTTCCAACCACTGCGCCACACGCGCCCCGCCCCGGCTAGTAGTTGAATACTTTAATAGTGCGTTTGCTCCTGTAGCAAGATAAACAGCGCAATTTCTGCAAATCTGAAATTTTGAGATCTGGGCAAGATTATTACTCTTCGGGAGTTTGAAAATAGCGACATCAAGGGGTTCCTACGATCAAATAATTGCGTTAACAACGATGAAAATCAAATTGTTTCGGCTTGTACGTTTCTGACCATGCACGAACTCATACGTTTTTGTGAAATTTAGATAACACAAACGCTGAATTGGGCAGTGCGAATGACAAGTGAACTGGAGACGAACATCGTAGCTGTTGAACGTATCAAAGAGTACACAGATACTCCTATTGAAGGAGCTCTTTCAAAGGAGCAGCCACCTGATTATTGGCCTAAAATGGGAAAAATTCATTTTAAAAACGTGTCTCTTAGGTTTGTTCACATATTTGTTCACGGAAGAAAATTTTACCAAACCAAATTAGCAGATTATCTGAAACTCATCATTTGAATGCCATCCAATGAGTCCGATCTATGCACAGCTAAAACGTTGACCAAAAACGATCCAATCGTCAAGTGATATAGTAATATAGAAGCAATACGGTTAAACAAACGATTGCTTTTTGGCTTTTTGTAAGCTACCTATTCCCTTTTTTGGTTTTCTGTCGAGCTTGAACGAGGTTCCAATTAAAAGCGCTTTCCTCTGGCTTGTGTTTCGGTCTTCTCACCTTCATCGAACTGTACCTGTTACCGTAACTATTTCATTTAGCTGTCAAGAAAAAATCAAAAATTCGACATTACAACTAAATACATTCTTGTTTAGGTATCGCCCTGGTCTTGAACCAGCTCTGAAAGATGTTTCAGCGGCCATAGAAGGAAAAGAGAAAGTCGGAATTGTTGGGAGAACCGGAGCAGGTGCATTCTATAAAATTTTCAGTATATAGGAATTCTAACAGTTTAGAATATTTCTGAATGTTCGATTATGAGTACGACCAGAACCAGAATATTGTATTAGCCTGTCTGTTTGTACTTTGGATAGTGGTAGTGTGGCTAGCGTATGATTGGAGCAGTTGTTAGTGATGCCATCGATCAGGAGGCAAAGGCTCTGGTCGACACCCTCTTCAACGCTCTCCCATGATCCAAATGGGAACACCTTAATCCTGTTGTCTTCAAGATTCCAAGCGTAATCGATTCGGCCAGCATTCCAAGACATTCAAAAAAAGACAGAATCCTCTAGCAGCAGCTGAAACAACACGTGAAATGTTCGAAAACCTCAGTGGACGATGAACGCGACGAAGGCGAATCGAAAGTAGGAAGTGCTGGGGCGCACACAGTATGTGTGATAACGGGTCATGTGAAATGTAAAAAAACTCGCACATTTAGGATGTTAAAAATGCAGTCGTTTTTAGGAAAAAGTTCATTAACGCTCGCCTTGTTTCGAACGGTTGAAATTGACAGTGGATGTATAGAAATTGATGGTCAGAATATATCCAGGATTTCTCTTGAGGTATTCATGCCATTTATTTATTATTTAGTTGTGAATATAAACTTATAGCATACAGAAGATAACTAAGTTATGTCACAGGAATCTTTAAGCTTCGTTTAGGAGCTGAGATCCCGTCTCACCATCGTGCCTCAAGATCCAGTTCTGTTTTCTGGAACTCTGCGTTTTAACCTCGATCCATTCGACACCTACTGTAAAAATCTTGGCTACGGCTTAAGGCGGAATGTATTTTTTTTAGAAATTGAGCTTTGTGAGTTTTAAGCTGATGCGGAAATATGGAACGCGTTACGAAATGCGCACCTCGAAGATTTCGTTTCTGCGCTCGCTGACAAACTCCTACATCCCATTTCTGAAGGGGGCCAAAACTTGAGGTAAGTAACAAAGTGAAATCACACCTCCGTCCTAAGTGAAAATTGACCTAGGTTCTGATTGATACAGATAGGGCTTATTCCTAGTATTGATATACCGCCAGAGTTAAACTCCTGTCAAAGAACTCTTAAGATACCAATTTTCTTTATCCGTTACGATGATAAAAAGCGGTATGAATTCACAAAATCCTGCATGTCAGTCGAAACAATGATTTATTATTCAGTGTCGGACAACGTCAACTGTTGTGCCTAGCTCGAGCATTGTTACGTCATCCGAAAATTTTGATTCTGGATGAAGCAGCAGCTGCTGTTGATGCTGAAACTGATTCCTTGATCCAACGAACAATTCGTGAACAGTTCGCTGATTGTACTGTGCTTACTATTGCTCATCGATTGAATACGGTAAGGCGGTTACTTATACTCACAATAGTGCTGAGATATAGATAGTTATACAGATATAGTTTGCTTATATCACCTATAAAAAACAGCTGAGTGAGGGTCCGCATGGTGTGGTGATGAACACGTTAATCTCCGGAAAGGGGTGAAAGTGCGTTCATCCCCCATCGCCGACACCTCAGGTACCGAGTTTTGGTAATATCTCAGCACCATTGTGGGTATATTTCACATCATACTCTGCTATATTGGGCGCATGTTGCGCAGTGATCGGAGGCGCCTTGTAACACATACGTGTAATCGATCCCCGCGCACATGGCCTAGACTTGTATGATGAATAGCAGCACTGGCTCGATACATAGGTCATTGTATAGGCCAGGTATACGTTCAATCACTTTTAATTATTCCTTTAATCATTCCTCAGGGATTGATCAACGCCGAATTCCTTGTTATTAGCTCTCCATCTGCCAGTGTAATTTTTCTGATGATTTTAGACTTTCCTATTTTTATATTCATTAATCAAATAGAAAAAAATCGTTATTCAACGCGACTAGAATAATTAGAGTTCTTTGACTTATCGTCGTAGCCAATAGGTATGAGAGATGAACAAGTATTGTAAAGGGTGAAAGTAACATGATATATCAACTGATCATTCTTCTTGAGGTATTAGTTCTTTATATTCCAGGTGATGGACTGTGATCGATTACTGGTACTATCGGAAGGTCGTGTTGTCGAATTCGATTCGCCTCAGGTTCTTATGAATAGACCTAACGGCATTTTTCGTGCTATGGCCAAAGATGCTGGTGTTATCTGACAGCATCCATTTTGCTGTAATAGCGTTCTTTTGTTTGCGTTCTGTAATAGCGTTTGTTAGCGTTCTTTTCGTGGTGCTTTCTCTATTTTGAGCAGATCATCTAATGTTTTGCCCATTAGAATCTTTTCAGCATTCAAAGTAATGATTACGGTAGTTGAGACGTGAAACTGCGTTGTAGTTTCTTAGCAAATCCTCTTTTTTTCTTCATTATTTGTTAAGTGTTCATTTTTGGCATAGGTCTAGTGTCTCACTAACGAAAGGTATTAAGTTATAAGAATATGTCATAATCATGTCATAGATTTTAGGCCAACTTGGACACTTACTTTTTACTGTTTCTTATTCTTTGATTCTTTAGTATTGAAATAGAACATATTGAGTATAAAAGTGTTTTTTTCTGACTGCAAACGAAAGATTTACATCATAAGCTTTGAACAGAACGTTAAGTGAGAGAAATATTTAAGTCTCATTAGGTTTCGAATTAGACAGAACATTTTCAAAACAACTTTGAACACATTACTAGACGCTTCTTTAATGCTGATGTATTTTTTTCCGTTATTTCTTTCAATGTGACAGACTTCGTTCTTCCGTTTCAAACTGCCATTTTCATCAGTGCTCACGTTACTGTAAAATAACACAATCTAAAAGGTCCACCACATATATTCGAAGCCTCATCGAAGAGTAATGGGAGTGATGAATCGTTGCTATTATGGAAGGAGCTAGTGGCAAAAGTATTTTTGGTCGACTGTAGCCGACGGTTACTTAGGTTTCTCGAGATTGGAGTGCTACTAAATGTTGTAGGAAATAGTGATAAAATTGTTCATTGCTTAGATATGGGCTTAAATGACTCGACATCACGAATGAGCGTGCGGACTGCAGTACAATTTACACCTAAATAGCAAATTGCTGGTCAGGGAAGCTTTCTTCTTCGTTGGAGTCTCGGGTTGCAGTGTTAGTCACTATGATGGAAGAAGCCTAGCCACCTTGTTTCTGTCGCATTTTGAAGTGAACTTGTGAATTTTGCACATTACAATATAAGCCACGGTAATGTTTTTTGCGAAGAACGTAGAACCTTCTATAGTTTGGTTTCATAAAACTCCGACTTTTTACAGCCCTTATTTCGATGTCGCTTCAAAGTTTTTTGAAGATTTCTTACAGTCAAAACATGGGCTGAAAATAACACCTTAAAAATTTGGAAAAATAGAGAAAATTCTATTCTATGAGCCTGTAAAGCTCTCAACTCCTCTAGTAGTTTAGTTATTCGAAAATTATTGGAGGACGTTGGAAAACAACGTTCAGCGCTGAGGGTGGGGCTTCTGTAATTGCGAGTTATCATGAATGTTCTTAGCCTTCGTGATAAACTCAGACAGCCGCTTACCCTGCTCGTTCCATTCTAATCCGTTGCTCTCATTGTGACGTTATTATAGGTCCTATCTAAACGTTAAAATTTCCGATAGTGACCACGAATAATATATGGTCTTCTCCGTAGAACATCTCTATATATGGTCTTCACCGTAGAGCGTCTCTAAGTCCATGTAGAACGTTTCGACTTCGTTTTCGTCGAACCTTGCTGCCAGCGCATAAACGACGAAGATTGTCGGAGCCGGTATTGATCCACGTCTTTTAATCGTAAACATCCGATTCGGGTTGATAGCTGTCGGATTGAATTAATGTTTATGGACAAACTCGTCTTGAAGAGAACGCCGACGCCGCCGACTCCTTTATTGTCGACATGTTCCGAGGAGCAGTTCTCCTCCAGTGTCATAGACGGCGTTGAAAGGATGGCGTCGTCTCGTCTCGGCCAGGCCGATGACGTCTTGTCCTGCTTGCTTGCATGAGCAAGTCTTCTATAGAGGACTCGAATGCACAGAAAAAGTGTGCGTCCAATGTAGATACAGATCGTCACCATAGTTCTTTGAAATCCAGGCAGCTCCCATTGGCCATGCGATTTTAGCAGCCTCTCCGTACACGTCCTACCCAATGTTACGAATTTGGGGGCTCTTTCGAGGTCAGAGGAATGAGGCTCGTTTTTTTTTTTTTACTGTGTTTAGCATTTTTGATACTCACGTATAGCTTGCTGGGCTCTGAACGTGTGCGCTGGGTATACCCACAGGTAGCTTCCCAGGCTCTCCCAGAGTGGTAATGGAGCTTATTTGTTGGAGGCGACTCCTAACCGGCTCCCATATACTTCCCCGTCACTTGATTGCAGGCTTTTGGCCAAACTGACTCGTATAATACAATCCTCATAAGCGAGAACGCACCCACACACGCTGGCATAAATAGGCCTCGTAAATATAGAAAGTATGTGCCAAATCGACACTGCAGAAACAGGGAGTCCATACCCTGGGTCCACCTGCGTTTCAGGGAAGCAAAGGTCGCTTTTGTTCCACGATTAACCCCTATCCCCCACTTGGGGATGCACCACGTAGCCTCGCGACTAACCGGCTAGAGATCCCTCATATGAGGAAGATCGGTGGTTGATTAATTAGTAAAAGGTAAAATTAATGAGAACAACAAACCCATATTTATGTAATGAAAGAAACTATAAGTTAGTTAGTTCGGTAACACTACAGTCTTTTCGTAGCTTACTTAGATGCGCCAGTTTTTGAAAATTTGAACTTTTCAATGCTGTTTTCATTCACATTGTCTTTTGTTAGGGAGCACAATTTCCAGACTGTGCACTGTCTAGTCCCGCACAGTGTGTCGCGCGCTGACAAAGATATGCAAATATGCAATGTCGAAAGATACTCAGCATATGTTATGCCGTCGACTATTAAAGCTGTTGGCATCGATGCTGGAAGATTACTTTTTTATGACCCACAAGATTTGTTCATAGTCTAAAAGTTCATAAAATACAATGAAAAACTCGAGGATACACTACGCATAAAAAAACGCGAAATCGAGCTCAAAAAACATTTGAAAACGGAATAATTGGACGAAATACATAGGGGTCGTGGCAACTTCGAGAAAGCCCCATAAGCGAGACAGAGCACCGCGATTAGCAACGTGCGTGACAAAAATCCAGGCGTTGCCTCGCACTGGGGCCATTCGAAAATTACGCATTCTTTCAAACGGGTTAGTGACTATGTAACCAGGTCTTCTTCTTCTTTCTATCACGCCACCAATTTCTCCCATTGTTTAGGAGTTTACATGATGTAGTTTATGTAGCATTTAGGGGTGAGTCTCTTATTGAGTAGTGCTGCCGTTTATCAAAAGCACAATGCTGGTTCGACCCCGAAATAAGCACACCAAGCTTCACATTCCTCCAGGGTCGGTAAATTGGCACTAGACCTGTGTATATAACTCACATAGAAACGCTCTGGTGCAGCTATCCTACGATTCGTGGGAGAATCGACTTGATCAGCACTCAATCGAATTTTTCGACTAAACTTTCGACGCTTTCTCATCCTTAAGAACCGCGTTAGCACGAGTCGGTGGTCTCAAATTGGTCGTTGCTGCGATATGAGAAATTGCAGTCGCTTCGGCTCACCGACTCTCATCCCATCAACACGTCGCCGAGTGAAACTTTTTACACCAACATCCTATCAACTCAGTTATGTAAGAAACTGTATTGATGACAGCACCAAAACAATGACATGAGGTGGAAATGCTTGGCCCCGCTATTACATGATAAGTCGAATCATTTGCCTTTTTAGCGTTGTAGTGAAGGCACAAGTGGATCTGGCGCATAAAAATATAATCATTTCCCTAAAATCGCAAAGGTGCCTGGTGAGGTGCATGTGATCATTCTTGACGTCAGTTTTTAGATTAGCTCTTACCTGAGAAGTCCTGAGGTAGATATGCGATTAAACGACTCCAGATTTCTCACAGGGAAATTCTTTGAGTTTTCAAACAGATTGTACTTTTGAGATTTTTTTCCCATAATATTGGTTGTTGAAATTACCATCTCTCCTAGGCCAACCACTTGCGCTTGTACTATTTCACAATCACATTCTATCACTGTTACCTTAGACAAATGTTAAATAAGAAGTTGAACTCGAATATGTACTAGAATTAGACAAGCTATACAAAAGATATGAAACTATTTAATGGCATATTGTCAAGGCAATGAATACAATTGTGATTCACTTTTTTCCTCGTTGAGCATGTTATATTACTGTTTATTTCTTGCACTAATAACAGAATAGCTTATTCGTGCATTCAGCGCATTCTATGAGTTTTTCATAGATTATTTCAGGTGAAGACCAACTGTGCAGAGCTCACATGGAATTGTAATGTGCCTCTCTGACATTAGAATATTAGTCCTAAATACTGCCTGATCGCGTATTGAAATTGAATCATGCGCGGGGTCGAGGCATTCCTTACTGCGCTTCATTTTGGGATTCTTGAGATAAATCCAGAATGCCTCGAGAGTTTTGCTTTCCGAAGTTTCTAATTCTTGGGAGAGGATAGTAAATTCTACTTCGAAATCTCCTCCGTTGTATCTTTGTTTTCTACGCGCGCCTAATATAGCGCTTGCTTCAACCAAATGAGCACGAAAAATGTGTACCTACTCAACGGCTCGGCGCATTCGAATCGACATTCCAATGTGAATCTCGAGGAGTTGGTCGAGATTTGCGAACAGCAACTGTATAACATCCGGAGACAACACTATTCATCAATAAGGGCTTGTAGAATACTTCCGATAAAACCTTCAAATTCCATACGTTTATGCGACCGGTATAAATGCGTTCTGAACGAAACCATAATGAGGGTCTCATCGGCATTGAATCACTAAAAGTATACATAAAAACAAGCCTATGGTTGCGACCGCTACATTAAGCTACACTGAGCGTGTATCACTACTATCAGTGCGCTACAATACGCTACAGCACACATGTGTAAAAAAAACCAATGTTTCACTTTTGCTTGATCGGGTATATCTAGGTAGAGTAGCAATACGGAAATTAGCGCTAATAGATTCCTGTCGGTTCTTCTCCTTCGGCGTCAGGTGACGCATTACATTCGAGCCGACGAGCTGATCGAGTGGAGATACTTCGCTC